TGTATATGGTGCATACACGTGGGTGAATAGCAGTCTTATGAGTACTACCATCATCTCCCATTTCCAATTTCCGATTTCTATTAAATAATATTAATTTGATGTTAAAGAGATATTTCAATTTGGAAGTAGATTTCATAACTTTGTTCTTCTTAATAGAAAAATGTAAATTGTGAAATGGAGATTTTTATTAGGATTCGTAATTTTAATTATTAGACCGCCATATTTGTTTAAAAAAATGATTTGCTTGATAAAAATAAACATCATTGGATTCTATAAATTTTTGTTAATGATTCTTCAAGTAACAAATTCTATTTTTTCTAAAATTTGAGCTTACTCTTGGGAGGATCTAGAGAATCTACCTTAACACCTTGGGAAAATCTAGGATAAACCTAACATAGAACTCTTTTGCAACTTTCAACTAAAGAAATTTGTAATTCCTCCAAGGTAGAATTAGAAAAATTTTAAAAACAAAGTATACAGGTAAAAAGGTCGCAAATTAATTTATCGGTCTAATAGTTTCTAAACCCAATGTAACTTTTTATATGTTTCGGTTGTTTTTTTGGAAGTTTATGAGACAGCGTCTGATTGAGAATTTCCGAACGTTTGAAGAGGTAGAAATTGATATTCGATCAATTAAACGTCCAGGCTAAGGGAGGGATGAGAGAGAAAATCAAAAGGGGGCAGAAGAGAAAGGTAAACTTAAGCTAGAGAAGGATCGGGAAAGGGAGGAGGATAGAAGGACGAGGGCAAAAGGTTAGGTCATATTGCAGATAGGCAAAGTAAGTATCTACCTCGTCGAAACGTCGGTGTAAGACCACTTAGAGCAAGGGTTCGTCTCTTTGGGAAAGCTTATGGCGGGCCCTCAAAGTGGCCATTACGAGCCGATGGTTGGTCCACGGTGGTCTGTAGAAATCGACGGTCAGTATCGTCTCTTTCCTCCTCTACCCCTTACCGTACGACTTCTTCTTCCTATCCTCTCCATCTTGTTCTCTTCCGGTACCATTTACCAACCAAGTTATCCAATTAGGTGTGTCAAGAGGTATCGAATAATTATGGTGGTTTACACTGCCCGGTATTCCTACGAAACACTATCGGATCATAGAATCGGAAGTGTTTGTTGAAACACAACCATACATTAAAATTCTTTGTAATTTCTCACTGTACAAATCATCAACTCCTTTTATATAGGAATGTTAATGGCTAAATATGGTGACTTTTTTTAGGGATAGTCATCCAGCTGTTCTGTGGGATAACTACTAAATGTCCAGTTCGACAAATTGTAAAATTTGTAATAGAAAATATAATTAAAGAAGCAGTTACCACCTAAGCCTTGTTTTATGGGACTGGTTTATGTAACTTGACTGTGTAACGATTTGTCTAAGTTACTGAGTTTTCATATTTTTGTTAGTTTATATTATATTATATTAAGTGCATCTTACACCTCTTATATCCCTGCAATAATTCGTGCAACAATGTTGCAAAACGAGAAATCTGGTTTAAGCAAGTCAGCCCTTCCCCAGCAAGCATTTGGTGACCCCGCCAGAACGAAGAAACACAGGGCCTCCTGGAGTCGCAGGGGTCCAGAGCGGGGGCGCTGGGCGTCATTGCACGCGACTCCGAGGAGAGGCCGATACCGGGTGTGACCTCCGATATCGGCCAAGAAGATGGCAATTAAGGGGGCGGCGAACTATAGACCTCCCCCGGGAAGAAGTCCAAGCGCTCAAGACGTGGGAGGATCGGGCGTTATATTTAAGGTCCCAGAGCCTCCCTGCAACGTCGGTAAAGGTCACCGTGGTGGTTTTAGTGGGTAAAAATCCCACACTATCCGTCGTCCCTCCCCCGAGGGTGCGACGGGTGTCTTTTAGAAGATTTCCACCACGTAAAAAAAAAAAAAAAAAAAAAAACCAGATGCATTCTTGCATATTCTGTGATCCTGATACCAGGAGTGTATATCTAATTTATATATAAAAACTGATTCGAGCAAAGGTAAGTAAAGGGGTAAGTAATCTCCTAAGATAGCAACATTGTTGCGAGCGCGCAATCGCGGCCTCACGTTTTGCAACATTGTTGGCGCGCGGCGAGCAATTGCCTCACAGAATTTTCGCATCTTGTGATGCACTTGATATTCCGGGCGCAACATTGCTGCAAAACGTGAGGCCGCGGTTTCGTGGTCGCGACATTGTTGCGATCTCGTCGGTGTCGTCTTAGATTTGCAACATTGCAGCGGACGCGCAATCGCGGCCTCACGTTTTGCAACATTGTTGGCGCGCGGCGAGCAATTGCCTCACAGAATTTTCGCATCTTGTGATGCACTTGATATTCCGGGCGCAACATTGCTGCAAAACGTGAGGCCGCGGTTTCGTGGTCGCGACATTGTTGCGATCTCGCCGGTGTCGTCTTAGATTTGCAACATTGCAGCGGACGCGCAATCTTGGCCTCACGTTTTGCAACATTGTTGGCGCGCGGCGAGCAAGTGCCTCGCAGAATTTTCGCATCTTGTGATGCACTTGATCTTTCGGGCGCCACAATGTTGCAAAGCGCGAGGCCGGTGTTGCGCGTTTTGCAACATTGTTGCGGCGTCACGAGAAGCTCAAATTCTCTGGCTACTTACCTTTATTTGCCTTTACTTGGCTGTACATATTTTTTTTTTTTTTTTTTAACGTGGGGAAATCTTGCATAAGACCCCCCACCGTCCCCTGGGGGAGGGCGGTAGGGGAGTGTCAGATTCCTACTGACTAAAACCCCACGGCGACCGACAGTGGCGCTAAAGGAGGGCTCTGGGACCTTATGTATATTTCTCCGGAGCCCTCCACGCCTGGCATACAGATGCCCATTTCGAGGAAGGTCCAAACTGAGACCTCCCTCTGTTGTCTACAGTGTGGCCGATACTGGGGGTCGCACCCAGTACCGACTTGTCGGGCCGCGTGCAAAGGTACCAGGAGCCCCCACTCCTGACGCCAGCAACCCCGATGACCCCACCGGTGTTGGTGGCGAAGCCATCATATTTAGTATTGAGAGATGGGTTAAATGAACCTTCTCTTGCTGCTCCTGCAGTGAGAAATATCTTATTGACAATAAAATTACAAAAAATAATATAATTGTATTTATATTTATATATTAACTTATATGTGTATTTTAATAAGCGAATGTATAAAGTGAAAGGGTTCAAGTATATTCACCCTAATAAAAAGAAATCATAAAAATAATTATCCACAGTTTCTCCTCGTGATAAATGTCATGACTTTGGTTAATCTGGATTCTTTCCAAGACAATTGTGTTGAGACCAGAGGGAGTTTACGAAGAACAATATGATGCTTTAAAAAAGTGAATCTTCTTCATCGATCGAAAGAATTTTATAGGAGGCCGTAAGAGTGGCAGAGGGTATCCTAGGGTATTCGGCGGAAAGACACGTTTAAAGAATTAAAGTATCTAATGCGAAAGAAAGGTCTTCGAAGCCGCCGTTTGAAAGCATTGTCTGCTTAAGCCTGGCATTCAGTAGCCTCTCTTGCTCTCGCTCTTTCTTCTCGGGTATAAATTGCGAAAGATAAGATAGTACGCAGCGCCGGATCGCCGGATCGGTGGAGGGAGAAATAAGAAATTAAGAGAGAGTCTTAGAAGAGAATAAAGCTAAGAATTCAGGTGGTACAGGGACGATGGCTGAAGAGGAGAGGAAGAATCGGTGGAACAGAGAGAAGAAAGAAAACAGGAAGAGCGACAGAAGACGGAATGAACTGAAACCACCGCTGGCGCTCGCTTTCGGGCTTAAGTCCTCCCAGGGATTCTTACTCGCGCGTCATTTAACAAAACAATTAGAAGTTAACCCCTTCCTTCGTCCGTTCCTTCTTTTCTTTCGAATCTACGTACCAAAATTAAGCAGGCTTTCAACCCTTCCTAAGATCGACCAATACACTGTCCGACCTTACGTATAGAAATCTTGTAATCTGGCAATATATAGGGTGCTCCGTGGAACGAGTGCCATGATTTTTTAGAAGTAGACTTATTGCAATCATATGAAGTAGAGTAGCTGCGTACAATTAGTGATGGGATTTAAGAGGAGCAGAAATTGTTCGGGAACCCAATTTAAACTCAAAGAAATTTAGAATTATAATTAATAGAAACTTTGAGATACACAAATTTCTAATTTGTATGAAACTGTTTTATTTCTATGCGAATTCGTTAGGGTGCAAGGTGGTCCGAGAAGCAAATGATAAACGGAAAGAAGCAACGGTTCCACTCAAGAAATTACGGAGGATCGTTTAGCGCGAACGTGGATGGGGATCCTTCTACTTTTTTCCTCTTTCATGAAAAGTCTGCGACGGTAGCTCGACGCCACCATGAATTCCGTCTTTCACGGTGATAAATAAAAGTAAAGCGTAAAGCAAAGACATCCGGTGGTGGTCGCCCCCTTCGTCTGCTTGAATTGTAGGAGTGTCGACGACCAACCCCCCTAAACCAACCCCTTGTCGATACCAGACTGCATGAAACCCCTCTCTCGCACACCAGTAAAACCGCTACCTCTTAGAACTGTGACTGCTTCGAAAGGTAGAAAATAAATATGCCATGTTTTTCTCATATCTGCCACCGTGAAATATGTATAATCCTCAAACGAGGGTTTGCTTTCTTTGTGGCAAGTCGAGAAAAGTGGAAAAGATTTCCACCAATTATCAGAAACTCCTCTTTTGATCTGTGTATGTTGATTCATAAAACTCTTACTCTTATTTGGAAAAAATCAAAGAGGGTGATGGAGACGATACATCCCCTGTTTCTTTTTTTTATACGAGGATAGACCGAAGGGGTTCGTGGGAGACTTCCCTTTGATTTTATTTATTTGTACGGCAATCTTTCTTTTTTTTTTTTGTCTTATTTAAGAGAAAATTAGCAAAGACAAACTTGGCGCTGCTTTTTCTCCGGAGTACCGCCTCGTTAATTTATTCTGACTGCTCCCTTAGACGTCTGTTTACAAATACTTATTTTTCAAAGTTCAATGTTTCTGCTGGAATGTGTATAACTCGTTTGTGGTAGGAAACTTTCAATACTGAATGGTATTTATTATAATTGTACACGGTGGATCAAAAATTATTTTCTCGTTTCAGTATATCGTACTTAAAATTATTTGGAAAAATATTCGTGGAGCACGTAGCTGAAAAATTGATTTAGTTCACCGGGAAAAAATATGAAGCAAAGAACGATTTATCAGGGTTCGTATTTTGTAAGAGACTGGTAATTCTTGGTCGCAATCCTGCTTTGCATCGGCTCTGATAGGAATACATGGCAGGCAAGCGGTGTGAATTTCCCTGAGTGGCCATTGTCATGTTAAGCACTCGTCTTTCACCCTCATCAGGGTTTCGTTAGGTTGACGACCGTTATCTCATCAGCGCTTTGGGAAGCCTTGTTTCGCATTTTCCTGAAAAAAAAAGAAAGAAGCAGAGGTTATTATACTTTGAATCTTAATGAATGAATCGTTTTAAACAGGCTATTGTTATATTCAACAATTTATACGAGATCTGTTCTTTGTAATACTATACAATTTTATTATACTTTGATCGAAAAATACACCATATACTCATAAATCAATTTTTCTCCACCTAGAACATATAGTTCTTTTTTATATTTAAAAATAAATAATGTTTGTCATTCTCATAACTACTCAAACTACATTAATAAACTGGAGGATCCTCAACGGGATATCGCAAAGTAATAGAATATAATTAATCACATATTGGCACACGTGGCACTCTTCTCGGAAATGGCCACCGACGGTCAAAGTCGAAGTTTCAGACGGACATTCGGGCACGTGAACAGAGCGGCGACAATCGAATCCGTATTTGAATGAATCCCGTGAAAGGGTCGAGGTCAACGAGATAGGGGATGGACGGTCCATCGACGAAAGCCAGAAGCTTTTTAACCGACGACTACACCCCCATGTCCCTCCCCCCAGGATCGACCGCTACAGATTAATTTCATCATGAATGTTAGCCCAACACTTGAGATTCAACCGCAGCCAAACACCCTTCACGATACTCTCTATTAACAGTTTAAAGCGTATTACAGTCCGCGAGTCGGGCTTGTTTCGGTACGTGCATCATGAGCTCGGCCAAAGCTTCGACACTCTTGTGAAAAATTGTAATTTCAATAAATATATTACGGTTACACAAAAAACAACAGTTATTCGTCTGGTTGGTACGCGATGAACACCAGGGAGAAATACATTGCAGGGGATGAAATGTTGAAACGTTTCCCATATTCGTGTATCGTGCTGTACTTAAACAATTACTTTATTTTCAATCGGAAAATATGGGACACTGAGCAAAGATTAAAAGTAGCTTTCAATATATATTTTTTAAATTAATTAAAATGGGACAGTGGATCAATCTGGCAGTGACAATTGAAATTTAATTTTACACTCTCCTTTGCTATCATTTTTACCTGGGGAAGAATGGCGGGGGAGTGTCAAATTCCTACCGACTAAAACCCCACGGTGGCTGACTTCGCTTTTGTCCACTTTCTATTCACTTTTTCGGGCGCCACTTGTACGCTCCCTGACCCACTACTTTTTCGCCAAGGTATAGTATGCATTTGGATCACGAGTGTCCAGACGTTCGAGGGTTAATAATTGGTAACGATTAAAAATTCATTTTTTATTTTCTCTATTTATTCTATTAACACGCGTTACCATTTTTTGTTCAGCTAAACAGAGACTGCCAATTAGGCGTGTCTGAAAAGTCGGAGGCCGTTTGGTTCGAGACCGAAGAGTAAGAAGGAGGATGAAAGAAAGAAAGAAACGAAGGGAGACTTGTTTCGCGGGGTATCCCTTTTTTCCCCTTCTTCTCTCTCTCCTTTACCTTTTTCGGTGGAAATAAAACTGTTGTATCTACTAATAAAGGCGGAGTCTTACCTTTAAAAGCGAGCACCGTTGCTCCTCTCGTTCTTTCCTGGCTGGTTCCTTCTCTCACCTTAGTTCTGCGTTAAAATAGGAGGGATTAGTTCCTATGGTAGCGCGGGGGCTTAAGCATTGATGAGGTTTTTAAATGGGTTCTCCTTTGACGATGGTAAGAGAGAGCAGAGAAGACGTGGACGGCCGACTGACTGGGGTAAGGGGGACAGAGTGGGACGATATTTACCGAGAGATTAAAAAATCGGGGGAAAAATTAAGTGTTACGGGGGCACGCCCCCGTTCAGGACTTAATTCTACGTAATCCTCTGCTAAGATCGCCGAACCGACCTCCCTTCCTTTAGCCCTCTCCCTCTCCACGCGGTAAGAAGGTCGTTCGTGATTTTCAACCCTCCGCGACAGCGTTTCTTCTTTCTTTTTTTTTTTATCTTCCACTAATCGTCTGAGATTATGCTTTCAGAAAATTCTCGGTTAGATGCTCGTGAAAACGTTGTAAAATCATTGAACAAACTCCTTCGCCTTTTATTCTCTCAATAACATCATCGTCTTTCATAACAATTAAAAGAAAGATTATTTTTTTATAAATTCAAAAGTACTTTGAATTCATAAAAGCGTGGGAAGATATTCAAATATAAAATTATATAAAAGGTCTATCTGATAATCCTATTATTTTAAATTCTATCTATATTAATTACTATCTAAAAAATATCAATTAAAATGTTATTATACCTTCGAATTTTGTATCAATAAATTTCTGATCACACACACATAGAGCTATCCGTTTTGCATTAGGTTGAGTGTAAACTCATCTGAAGCAGTTTAGCAGGCACCGTTGATAGAAAGTTCATTTTGGGACGAGTTTGGGTTTGCTCACGACGGGTCTTTTTCCCTGGGTTCCTTCCACTCAAATAATAATGTAGCTTAATTACACGAGAACAAGTCGATATGTTGGTGATACAAATATTTAGAGGGTGGACGGAGAGTACCCGTGGAACGATGTTATTAGTAAATTAACTGACATCAAAGAAAATGCGAGCGTTGGTCACTTACTCTGCTAATGGAAAGCCTGCATCGTTCTATACGAAATATCTATAGATGTACATACATACGTGTACAGATACATTTCTGTATTTCGGTTATAGTACTTCATCTGTACCTCTTTCACAGGCCATCGATGCTTCAAATATACTGGGTATCCTGTTTATCATAACCATCTTGTATATCTATCGTTAGGACAAAAAAGTAATACTTTCCAAATTTGACTCCAGAACCTCTGATGCCTAACAACTTTCTTATTATAATCTTCATAATTTTTTAAACACTCCAATCTGAAATGGGAAAAAGAATTAATTAATCTTTAATTGTCAATGAATTATAATATTAATTTTCAAATTTCAAATTCCAAGCTTTCATTTTGTAGTTTTTACGACTTGAAATAGTTATTACTATCATAATTTAACAAATTTTTCATTATTCATTCAATTTCCATCGTCCCTTCATACCTTGTCTTTTAACCTCCATCAAACCAGCAAAGTTACACTAAATCTTCTGACTCATTTTTCTTCAGAGTATTACCTATCCGCTACCCTGGCACGCTTATTCATTTATCATTACGAGCCAGTATGATTGGTTAAGAAGATGATGCATGCCGTTAGCGAGGAGGACCTTGAAAAAGGCCAAAGAAGCCAAACATCCCTATAGCTAGTTCTCTCACCGATTTCCTTGTGTCTCCTTGTTCCTTCGTTACGCTCGGGTCTTAAGGGTGATTTCTTTTCGTTTCTGGCTCCGCCGGACTAAATTTCGCGCGCTAAGCCCTCGGTGTAATCCTGCCCTTAATATTCAAAAACGTGATCGCCCTGCCAAGCGTGCCGGAGAAAGGAGCTGCCCTCGACGAAGATAGCAGCCACGCTCGTCCGAGCGAACTGGCGAACAGGGAAAGCTTTTCATATGCTAATTGGCATTCGTCATTTTCTTATGGCGGTGACTTAAGTGTGCTTAAACGTGCTAACTCCTTTTTCGAAGCATTAGACCTTCACCGAGCTTGAGAGATACCAGTCTGTGTCATTTTCGAAATTGGACCCTATCGTGAAATTTTCTCTTCTCACCTGAAAATTAGTTGTACTTAATTTCATACAAAATTAGTTGTAGTTTGTAATATTTTAAGATTAGATTCTCTTATTTTAGACATTCGTGTAACCTGAACCCTTCTTTTAGAGTGGGCTAGGTCTCTTGGAAATTTTGAAATTCTGGAATCTAAAAGATCAGAAGTTTTGTAATTTTGAAATTTTTGATTCCAACTTGGCTTGACGACTTTGATAATTTCGCAGGTAAGGCTGGAGCCTAATTACCCAAGAGCGTTGACCCTGCAGTTAAATCCCTTATATACCAAATAAATAAAATTTTAATATTTGAAACAGAGTAAAATGATCCAATCTTACCATTACATATATCATTACAATAAACCATTTTACTTTTTGGCATTTTATCATTTCCAAATCGTCACTGATATTCTAAATTATAATCAATACAGCATGACTTACCTCTTTTATTTCTATCATCAATGGTTCTCATTCATGAGTAAGCGATAATCATTCGGTGTTCGACACATGTAACTAACGGATATACATTTCCCTTTTCATTTTTCATATGAAGGTATACGTATCCTATCGTAGCACATGCGTATATTACATTCTTTATCGAAAGATATCTGAGCAGCGTATCTGTAACCAGATAACAAGTATGAGTTCGTCGACTAAAAGTGCCTCACCTGTGACTCCGCTTTAGTCGATTTGCTCTGCCGTGTCGTTTTCTTCATTTTTTTTTTTTTCTGAAACGATAAAAGGTGCCATAATTAATTGAACAAATATTGTGTCATAATGTGATCTTACGTTAATTTTGATGACTATATTGACACCGGTGCAAAAGTTTATGTATTCGGTAGTGTGTATAAACCGAACTGTTAATTAATTAACTTATTTGTGAAATAATTTTAATGAGACTCAATGAAACTGTTAACAAACGTGAATGGGTGTTCTGGTGTTCAATTAATAATTGATAAATATTGAATTAATATATATTGGGTTGGTGATTATTGATATGTGTTCTGGGAACTAAAAACGTCAGCAGGTGATTCATGATGACACATAATCTAGATTCATGTAACACGTCCTTAATTACCCAATTGATATTTGTTATACCTGAAAAGTAAATTTAATTAGAACATTTATTGTTTAGACATTAGTTATTATTGATGTATGTTATTGTAGGTTGAATTTTGATTACAAGATTGAAAAATGAATAGGTACCATAATTAGAATATTTTAATTTCGAAGTCACTGATGATACAATTAAAATTTAGCTTCTTTTAAAATTGGAATTTTTATTTTTATTTAACAAATATTTTAAACCATTGACGCTTTTTATAGGTATCTTAGAATTTTTCTAATTTTTTCTTTTAATTTGTTGAGGATCTTACATGGTAAAATAATCCAGTTTGTTTTTGAAACATAAAAAATATATCTTTTTGCAGTAGAATTGTAAAATTATAATTCATTCGAACGGAATGACTATACGTCTTCAAGAAGTGGTGAGATCGGAAGTGGAAGGTGGTTTAGCAGGACCAGCCAATCCGATACCAAGCCAATCGATCGATTGTGGTTGTGCACAATTACGATGTCCGAAATTAGCAAAATATGCAACTCGACGGCTCTTCGTTGGATTGTTATCATGGGTCGGTTTGATTCAAGCAGCCGCGTATGCTTACTTATACGTGGTAGGGCACACAATCGCAAGGAGATTCCAATTTGACCCTTATGTAATGGGTATGCATTCAAACTACTGTATTTTTGAAATTAGAAATTCTTAACATAACATATGAAATACCTATCCCTTTTAATAAAAATATTCTGAATGAAGATTTTAAGTAATTTTAAGGGATGCCTTCTATTTGTCAGGGATCTTTAAATTAATTGATTTTTGAGAGATAAAAAGTAATAGTTAAAATAAAATTTAAAATTAATTTTTTCATTTCAATATTAAGTAAAATAATTCATAAATTAAAATTTAGAAGAAAATTTATTATAAATTTTATTTTAACAATTATAAATGCAGTACTTATTAGAAGATGAACGTTTAATTAATTACACCTCTGAATTGTTATTAATTATTCTTATTAAATATTGCAGAATGGGTGCTCTTAATATCAGATTTGATACCCTTTTTTCTTGGGTTATTGATTGCCTATTGGGGTAATAGAATCCATAGAGCTAGTTGGATCGGTGCTATAGTTCTTCTACAAAGCGTTTCATATTTTAGTTTAATAATTCCTCACTTAACACATCAAACGAGGATTATTGAAGATACCGAGAACGTCACACATATGGCGCTGTATTCAGGTAATTCAATTCCTAATCAATTCCATTTAATATTTACTTAACATTCATCTATCAAAAGCGTACTCACATTATTATTGATTGTTTTATAACTTACAATCAATGTTAGTTAAAATAATGAAAATTAATTGTACTACAATTAAGAATAACTTGGAATATAATAACTTATATTATTTTTTAACTCGATTTAATTTGAAATTCCATTATCACATGTCTCATTTACTCTTTTTAGATGATCATCGAGAATTATGTTCAGAAGTTACAGCTAGTATCATCGCTGAAGGGGACTCACCATGTTATTTCACCTTTGGTGTACTCATTGCTGTGCAGATTATAACTGGAGTGTCTAATATTGCATATTTCGCATTAGGTCTATCTTACTTAGACGATAATACAAAAACGAAACACGTGGCTGCCTTCATCGGTGTCGTGATCGGTGTGAAAATTCTTGGTATTTTGTTGGGCTACATCCTGGCATGGGGTTGCCTTAGGTAAGAAACCTAACTTAAAAATATTAAATACTTAAATATTTTAAAGGATATAAAATATGACTTAAAAAATTATTAACTTAAATTATAAGTTAAAAAAGTCCTTAGATCAAAGTAGAAGACACTTATACTTAACAATTTGTGTCAATGCAGAATTGATGCGGTGACCTTGACCCCAGTAGAGTCCTACAGGGAACAAATTGGTGCATGGTGGCTAGGACTACCAATCCTCACACTGTTACTTATAGTTCCTGGCTTACTACTTTCATGGTTCCCACGTATGCTGCCATCCCAGGTAAATACCAACTTACAATATTTAACGTACCTGAAATATACAAAATATATTAGTTGTAATGATTTTAGGTCGTCGAACGAGCTGCAGCATCCTTATTGAGCAGTTCAGATAGATACATTTCAGCACCTCGAAGATTAATTAGTCAAAAAGTAGGCAGCCCTAATTTTTGGCCTTCAGTGGGTAGATTGTTCGTTAATAAAACATTAATATGCCACGTTCTGGCTTGTACTCTGTACCTTATGGCTACCGTGAATTTTATGGCCTATGAGAATCTTATCGCCGAATCAAGGTTCCATGTACCAAAACCAACTGGAACGTTACTGGGTTTCGATGATCCAATGCCATCCAGAATAGTGTCAAGTAAGATAACAAATATTGTTTGAGGGATTTTTTTTAAGACATTGACAATCATCGTAGAAATAGGATAAGAGGGAAATAATAAAAATGGATATATTAGATAGGAGTATGAAGAAATTTTTATCAATCTTAAGGCCATTCTTTTTAAATTCAATGAAAATCTTTTTATATTAATATTCAAATTAATATAAGATTCAAACCTGATATCCAAACCAATATTAAATTCTAATTAATACTAATTTTAGTAATCCTTATCCAAGGGTTAATTATTTGTTTAATTTAAATTCACAATATCATGATGGTCAACGTACTAGCATTTCTATAATTAATTAACATTAAATTCATTTTCAGATATGTTAAAGCCTATTCTAATCGGCTTAATCATCATCACCTCAGGTTTGGTAATAGCGAAAGCGAAACCCAACGCCAGAAGTATCATAGGATACAATATCATTATTATATTTTTATCTGCCGGAATTATATTCGCACTATCAGCCACTTCTTGCATGAAGAAACCTATCGTTGGTACTGATAGTAAAGGCTCGTAAGTGTACCTGCTAATAATAACTGAACCTAACAAAAAGTTAGTGCAATTTTCCCAAGGTATTTTAATAATATTTCTTAAATATTTTCAGGTTGCAACTGCTTAGATATTGCAACAAAGATTGCCGTTGTTCGGCTGACGCTGATTTCCGTCCTGTGTGCGACATCAAAGGGATGTACACATTCTATAGCCCTTGCCATGCCGGATGCACCTCCTCTGATTACAAAAACGGGATAACAATGTATGATGGTTGTAGATGCGTGCAAGCAATGCCTGGTTCGAATAGTATGGAAGCCATTGATGGACCTTGTGGTTTGAATGGTTGCCAAGTTAGTTGGTTAAGCTTTGAGGTAAGTGTTATTTTCTGTATCTTCTACAAATCTTATAAAATATTTCAAAATAGATATATTGTTAAAATATCTTTTCTTACCCTTTAGTTTGGCACTTTACTAGTGTACATACTGATTGCTTCGACATTTGTGGGTGACTTTTTGATACTCTTAAGATCAGCCCACACACAAGACAAAGCGATCAGCGTGGGCTTCTGGTTGATGTGGTCAGCATTAATTGTGAACGTACCTGGAAAAATTCTATACGAAGTAATTGCCAATTTGACGTGTCAGTATTGGGGCACTCGAAGGACCACGTGCCGTCTTCATGACAGTTCCAAACTCGGCGATTTCCTGTGTTATGTCACCGGCTCTCTGTTGGTCCTAAGTGTTTTGTTGAAAATGCTGTTATGGATCTTTTCTGAAGATCTCAAACTCTACGTTCAAAAGGAGGAAGCAACTGCAGGGGCTGAGATGCAGGAATTAATTCAAAATACTGCTGCTACGTCTAGACAAAAAACAGAACAGCCTAACACTGAAAATGATAGTAAGTTTTCCTTAATCCAGTAGTAACTCAGAGAGTGAACATGTCTTGCACAATTAAAAAGAAAATTAAATTAATTTTCTCTTATTACCTTCTCTAGACGAAACCACAGTTCAGGTGGAACCGAGGAGAGAATCAACACCCCCAATAACCAACATTTCTCAAGAAGATTCGGAACGTCAAGAAGCTGAAAAGGCACCTTTGAAATACGGTCCTCTTGGTCCTGGCGATCGTCGAACCGATTCAAAATCCTCTCTCAATCAAATATCGCAGACTCCTAGATCAACAATGCGATACCTGGACTCCGAGGACGATTTGAGTTCCAGTGACGATGACAGAAAAGACCCTAGTCCCAAGGTAGCATACAAACCACTGGACCTCGATTCCGACGTAGAAAGTGATTTGGTAAACGTACCACCGAGATCACGAAAACGTATCTCAAGCAAAGAGTACGATAGCTCTTCACCTTCGAAACGCGAATTTCCAAACCCGGATAACTATGATGATCCAAGGTTAACGAGACAAATGAGATACAATAATGCAGATGGTTCTTCAGAAACCAGCAGCTTTGAGTACTCTAAACAGAGACATGAAAATGAGATACAAACGAAGGGAGACTTCAATGAAGTTGGTATACCCATAGTGGATTCCATTCCTTCGGGAGCTCCCAGGTCTGATTCACGTTTCATGAAAGATGTGAAATCGTTAATTAATAAATATGAATTGAATGCAGAGCAGCAAGCTAGCGGAGATCAAGGGTCGGTTAAATCTGGTGGAAGTGTTAGATCAGAGGGTAAAATTGTTTCAGGAATACCATTGGTAGCTATGGCGTCGAAGAAACCTTCTTCAAGGAACCCGTCTTCTTCAGGGTTCAGTAGTATTGATAATAATAGGTCGGAGTCGCGCGAAAGCAACAGTCCAAAAACGTCCAGCAAAGGCAGTGTAGGTACCCTCCATACAGACTTTTAATGTTCATTACACTGTTTTGAGGGAAATCATTGTATCGAAGTAAGTTTATAGAAATATCTTATTTATTTTTGTGAAGACATCTCGTTGTTGAATATTGCATTTATAATAACAGTTTGATGTACAGGAAAATTTATTAGGAACATAGCTAGATTAGAGATATTTCCGAACGATGGGAGATAAGAGTTAAGAACAGTTTCACGGTATCAGCAGTTACGTTAGCCTTGTGTTTGATGTAGATAGAAAAGTTATTGGAGATTGTGCGAGAATTCTCATCGAATCTTTTGATTGTGCTAAAAATACACTTCTTTGTTTTTTGTATTGTAATTATGAGAATTTTTTATTCGAAATTGTAATTTAGAACATTCCTGGGGGTTATTAATTAATTAAATTAATTCTTGCAGAAAATAATGAAATTATTTTGGACTCGTATGAAATTGCCAGATATCTCCAAATTTTTCTGATATATTCTGTAAATACGAAAAGAATTAGAATCCTGTAAGAAAAGTGCATGATAAAAAAATTTTAAATTGTTATTGTAATGTGTAAATCATAAGAAATATGTTACTGATATTTATTTCATATTTTGTTAAGATCATTTACCAGTAAGTAGAAAAGATTTATATAACATGTTTCGAAAAACTTAAAAAGTCTCATAACTACAGATTCTTTATTCCAAAACGAATCGAAAAGTCCTGTGCCATTTTACGATTAAAGGCTCTGTTTCTAAGATATAAGCGATTAAAGATTGAATGTTTGCGAATGCGCGGGTACCGTTTAAATTGCGTCGTTACACGTGACTTCCTGTGCGCGCCCAATTTAAACTTAGAAACAAAACCCCGGATCGAAAAACGGTAAAGGGCTTCTTAACTCGTCTTGATCTCAAAAATCTATACTTTGTATATTGAACATTTTGGAGACACTTTGTGTTCCTGTACAAGAAATAGAACAGAAAATCTGTTACAAATTGTGATTATAAATTTTTGCAGAATCCGTATGCTTAAAGCAATAAAGCTTATTATTACGTAACATAGATTTTGTGGAAAAAAAAAATGTATTTTATACGTATTTTAATTACATATTCATGACTGTATTAAAGTAACACTGCCATCACATATATTGCAAAATAATTTTATCAAATAAAAGTTAACTAATGTTTAAGAACTTTATGTAATATCCTTTCTATTAAATGTATTTTTGTTTCGTTAAATTTCACCAGTTATTTTACCAAATTATGACTTAACGAAATATGAAACTATTCATTTTTATTAATGACGTATTACTGACAAAACATGAACATGGTATATAGATTCATACAATTTAATTAGTATCTTTAAGTTAATTACTTAAATTTAGATACTAATATCCTAAATTGTAATTCAAAAAATGAAGTTTTCTATGATTTAAAATGAGTGTCATTTTAATTATAATTATGACAAACAGAGATATATTTAATCTCTTGTTTAAATAAACAGCTGCATTTTACTTAATTACTATAAAAATATTTAGAAGTTGAATAATTTGAAATCCATTTTCGTGTGGATAAAGTTGTTTTATTGAAAGATATATGTTATTAAAATTACAAAATGATAGACCTGTTTAAATTTTTAATTATTTATTGCTTGCTTTTGTTCTCGCTGTTACCACCATTATAAGCCTTATTTCTGTTCCATCTACCAACTTTATGCATTAATATTTTATTTAAGTGAATGGATCAATTATTTCCTTCCCTTACAATCATTTAAAAACATGTTATGCGTAATTAATATAATCCTAAAATAATTGTGATCAAATTTGGGTAACACCTTTTATTTTATTGAATAAACTTAATACCTATTCGAGGTTACGAATTAAAACCAACATGATGTATGGCACCCTACCGTTAAATTCAACGTAGTAACACTTCCGTTCACCGATATATACATAGTACATTGTACAGAATTCAAAGATCTCCAATTATTACAAATTGTATAACAAAACCTTTTTAGGTGTCTTCCTTTGATTATAATAAAACTGAAGTATATTAAGTGAACTTAAAAAATAAGCAACATGTATTTTTTTATAATTTAAAAGGGTAAAAGCCGCCTTTAAAATTGGGCATATAACAGGATAATTTAATATTTAGTTTATACTGTAAGGAACCACTTCTAGAAAACTTTTTTAAAGTCTCTATGTCCAGAGGGTGAACCACCCCTAAAATACTCCTACCCCCTATTTACTTTTCCACATATTTTCGTGTGTCTACAAATGTTTTTCTGTAATATAACATATCTCAATTTTATTGAAATTAAAGGGAGATACCGCGGAGAGTTCCCTCGTTAGTTTACACGTGCCAAAAATTATTTCAGGCTCCTCATAAATGATGAGAATATATCTCGTTGACAATGATCATGAGGCGAGAAGAGTAAAAAAAAGAAAGAAATTAAATTCGTTTTCTGTCTCAAATGCTGTGCCTCACGAATGAAATAGTTAATGGTAAGTTCTATCCGAGGTACTACGAGTTCGTTTTTTTTTAAATATCTAAGAAGATGCTTAAGGTACTTGTAAAGTCTTTATTCGTCGGCTCTCTCGTTTTCCATCTTTCCCGTCTGGTTTTTTTGTTTTGTTTCTTTTGCTCTTCGACCAACGACTTTGCAGTTCGAACCTTTATTCCACCTTTTTTACTTGAAACGAAGCGATCTGACTCGATCGTTAAGGACTCACTTTCAAAGTGTCTCCCCGGGTTCCTCGGCTATGTCTTTCAGCTCGATCTCCTCGTCGAAGATCTTTACGTCTTTCACGAAATACCAAACACCCATGTCGAATAACGTACCAATCGTTACGAAAGCTGAAGAGAAAAAGTTAATAAAATTAACGTTATGGGGTTACATCACCTTCGCTATTTAACGCAGATTAATAATAACTTCCAAAACAAATTTCTGCAATCTGGAAAATTTGGAATTTTCAGTTCACATTAACGAAATTTCTCAAATTAAAATTTTGCAACTTAGAAATTAGCAATTTTATAGCATGCATTAATAATACTTTTGCAACTTGGAAATTAGTAATTTTATAAATACCACATTATTGAAAATTTATTTCTAAGTAGCGAAAATACTTTTTGCTTTTAAACAAATCTATAACATTGGGAAACTTACTAGCTGCTGTAAAGTTTAGCAGATATCTTAAGGTTTCCCCGTTGTAAAGCCAACAGTTTCCTGTACCTGAACACGTTTTGCCCCAAACAAGACAGGTCCTATCTGCAAGTAAAAATAACACTTATTAATTTAAATCGAAACACCAAATGAAATTATAAGCATAGCTAATTAGAAATCATTATATACAAAAACATGAAAATAATAATTTTTAATCAAACAAAATTATTTCAAATAGATATTTTCAGTACCTAACACTATCAAGTAAAATAAATGTTTAAATAATTTAGACAAAAATTATTTTAATAAGTACCTATTTTCAATAGTTTTTAATTCATGATCATTTATTTGCAATAATTATTATTAGAATAAAATGACTTACCTAAGATAAATCCAAACAATATTGGCGAAGGTATGAAAGCAAATAAGCTCATGATGGTTAATCCAAAACCCATAGCCACCGTTTTATCCTTCTCATCGACGCATCTGACGGAAACCAGGAAATTCGATGCTCTTCCGGTGGCGCCACTGAATTTCAGTAGACAAACCACAGCCAAAAACACATAAAATTTGTGCATACAGTCTACAGGACAGGCACCTGGTACTGCACTACCCAATATTGATGACCTATCGGAATCGGTGCTCTCAAACGGAACGTCCGTTGCGTACATCGACGTGTTGTTTGCGAATAAATGTGACAAGGAATGTGTAAACTTTGGTTTGATGCAACTGCACTCTGTGTACATCTTACTGCCGTTACCCTGAAGCTGAAAATAAAAAATTCAATTAATTTATAAAAATACATAATAAGCTAGAAAATCTATAATTTATAAATTATGTGCAGTAAGGAAATTTTAATTAAAAATTTTGATGGCTGCTGTCACATGTTGGTGACTATTTCTATGCAAGGTAATAGTTATTGCAATTTGACAATTAACAATAATAGAATTTCTCAAATTAATTCTTTTCAATTTGGAAATTAGTAATTTTATAGCATAGACATAATGAAACCTTCCAATTCAAATTCTTGCAATTTGGAAACTACTAATTTGAAAATCTAGACATAATGAAACGTTCCAAATTAAATCTTTGCAATTTGGAAATTAATCATTTTCCAATGTAGATTAATAGAATCTCCCAACTCAAACTTCGCAATTTGAAAATTGCTATTTTTATAGCGTACCATCAATAGCACCTTCCAACTGAAATTTTTGCAATCTGGAAGGGTAGCATTAATAGAACCCCTTAAATTGAATTTGTTCAATTTAAAAATAAATGCGATATCGAACCTTCACATTACGACACCCAGCGTGGCAGGCAGAGATAAATGTTTGGCCATGTTCCGAGCAGACAGGATTATAAGTAACGTAATCGCAGTGGCACTGCTGGTTGCACGGAAGTAGAGTCTTCAAAGCGCCGTCTGGTTGAACCGTGATTTGACTATCATTGGCAGAACATCCAAGAAAAGCGTAAGAGATCATCCCCATAACTGACACGGCTCCCACCATCACGTTCCATGCAGCCAAGTACCTCGCCTTAGGTTTGTATTTTGAGATAATTAATCCGGACAGAAGAATTCCAAATGCACTGAAGACCAGACCGACTGTTCCGGTAATTAACGACGAGACGGAAGCGGATTGTTTGTACTGAGTTTCGATATATTTCGGCATGAATATCCAATAAGGCATGTATCCCATAAAATAGAAAACTGTTGCTAGATTATTGCACATAAGTGTCGTGTTTGTGAGCAATCGTTTAAACGTTCTCATCATATCCGCAAATGAAGCTGGTAATTCCGGTTCTTCGTCTTCTTTGATGCTGGTCGCTGATTTGTTTCGTTCTAAAGCTAAGACTTTACGAGCTGCTGCTCTGGGTAGAGTTTTGGGGAAAAGGGCGATAACACTGGCGAAGAAAAATAGGAGGAACGCTAGGATGATCCAGCCGAGCCACCAGGCACCTAACCACCTATTGGAATTTCAGTTAATTAGTGAAAGCTGATATGTAAAGACTAAGACTAAAATTTAAAATAGTTAATATTCATCAATAGTCATTAATAGCTATCAATAATAAATAATGAAATGTCTCAATAGTCATATTTTTTTTTATCAATTTGAAAATTAACGCAAAATTACAGAGGTCTTAGATTTCATAAAATGTGCATATTTAAAATTTAAATAAATAAAATACGATATTGTACCTTGGATCCTGTGTAGTGATCGTAGGTGTCAGAGTAGGACTAATATAAAACTTGAGGGCAAACGAAGCTAAACCATAACCAATGGCTGGACCCAACATCCTCAGGAAGTACGAGAAGCTGATCAACGCCGGTGTTTTTGATTTCTGTATATTGTCATCCATATAAGACACTCCTAGAGTGTAATACAACGATCCACCAACTCCTGATACCAGTTGGGCTGTGAAGAGTAACGCCTGGGGTGCAAAATTCCCATCGGCATCCTCGCATTCGTTTTCACGGTTCTCCTTTCCGAGACACAGGAACTTCCGGTATTTATCAGGTATATGACTCGAATTTACGTTCCGTGGCTTCGCTCCGTATTCTTTCGTGAGTAAAAGAGCATCCTCTCCTGGGCCGTACAAAAAATGCGGCAACATCGTCAAACAACAAAAGAGGACGACCTGAAGAGTGAAAAAAAAGAGAAAATCTTTTTATTGATACTTTTAGTGATAACAGTACGTTTGCTTTAGAAGAATCTTAAAGATATCGTTAATAATTGCAGTAGTTCTTAATACCTGTTTGTTGACCGATATCAAGAATTTAGTTTGTCTACATAATTAAAAAAAGGAAATTAAATCATTAATAGCAAATTATGATGTTACTTGTTAATATGTAGTGGGCTTAATTAAAGTGACCTTGTATCAGTTTTAAGTTCTAAAATATTTGAAAAAATAAATAAATAAAGAATGGAAAATAACTTAACATATACATAATCATTTTTATCTTGACAAATAGCTTATTGGCATTGATGAATGACATAAGTGAAAATAT